TATGGAGGACCTTGATTGTCCACATCTTGAAACGATATGGCACATGAAAGAATAAATTTATAGTTTATATTGGATATCAAGTGACAACAAGTCTCCCCAATAATACAGCACTCTCCACCGTATTCTAATTGTTTTTAGTAATGCTATTGTCTCGATAGTGTCGAGTCCTCAATAATTTGTCAGTTCCTCAAGAATTTTCGTGGTCGTTCCTAGTGCACTAAAAATCAATGTTTCAGGTATCACTTTCATGTTCCATAATGTCTTCAGTTCTCTGGTATGATACTTACTAAGTGTTTCACTTCTGTTCAATTTTACTTTGTAGTCTACTGGAACAGTTAAATACGCTACTATTATCATTCTGAGTTACTTCTTCCCTTTATTGGTTTCTATTTGATTATTTTTTCTAAACTTTTTTACTTTCTTTCAGAAATAAAAGCAACTAATAATAATGCTAATAATAGCCGTTGGCATTCATTTTTGGCATTCATTACTGCTTAAAGTACTGCTTTCTGATGAAATTTACAAAAATCTTTCTCTTAAAAAACCTTTTTTAGGAAAACAGGATGCTCAAGTCCTGTAGCTGTTATCGATCTTCCCAGTATTGATGGGAGATGTCCTTTCTAACCTTCTATTTAAAGTGGTGTGGAATGTTAACATCTCGATTATGTCATGATTTTCTCTTCGGGTTACATGTGCTATCCATTTTAGTTGTTGCTGCTGTTGATAGTCCTCAAGTGAGGTGGTTTCTATTATTTGGTAAAGTGCTTTATTTGTGATTCTGTAGCGCCAGTCCTCAATCTTCAAAGAAGGGTGATCTTTGCCAAGAATGGCTGATATTTACTCCGCTCTTCAACCATTCCTGGTGTCACTTTTTCTTCTATCATTCACAAATTAACGAATCTTTCAGTATTCAACTTCACAGATGTTAATACCCATTCGAAAACAGCTTTTTTTTTTCACTTTGAAACATTTATTCAGTCGTTTCAAAGTATTGGTTTTCCGCCATTTTATTAATTCCTGTTTTTCTCTATTTTTCTATCCTGTTAAATTTTATAGCATTTTTTTTTCAATTTTACTTCTTGCTACTTTACCCTTTCTTCTCTTCACTGAGTTTCAAATTGGTAAAAAAAAAAAAACAATATATATTGATCCCCAAGAAATGAATATGAATGCTTATTTATTCATTAACGTATGCGTGTAGGCTAAAAACAGAAATAGTTTCATTACCCCAAAATTAAAGAAACCATATTAAAACGTGTATACAATAAGAAAAAGTAACTAATCTATTATTAATACAGAAATAAAGAAATAACCTTAAAAATAAAATAAGAAACATGTAAAAATAAACTATGCAATTTTTCACTCGGAATATCTTTGGATTTAGATTTTCAATAGCTTTATAGTAAAATGATGGTCGCAATTAGAAAAATGTCTGTTTTTTGTTTTGTTTTTTTTTTTTTTTTTTTTTTTTTAGAATATTCTGTATTCTTGACATTGATGGGATTCCTGAGCATGCCAGAAGAAAGTTATCAGATGTTATCTTCCCCAAAGGCTACCCAGAACAGATCAAAGCTTTCAATTTCCTAAGGTGCTTCATCTGCTCAATTATATAACAACGTCCTTTCTTTTGAATGAGAAGGTATAAATTGCAATTTCGAGTCTTGCTTCTCTACATTTTAGGGAAAAAAAATCAGATTTCGAAAATTAACAAGAACAAATTTTGGTTCACTTGGTACATATAAAAATGACCTATCAACAAATGTTTTCGGAGATTCTAAGGTTCGGTATCTTGCAAAACTAGAAACGGTTAAGTTACAGTTCTGAGTTGTAAATCTTCATAGTTGTTACTTGAATTAACATTACGTTCGTCCATCATGTGAACACATGAATATTCATTGCTAACTGCGAAGTCAGTAGCATCTCTGAAGCCACTGTAACATACTTTAAACTTTAAATAAGTGTTCATCGAAAGTGTTTTAATATTATGAGGAAATATCAAAGTGGTTGACCTGATATTCATGGTTATTACAGATACTGTTTTTTCTTTAGCTTTTTAAGCAAGGCGGGAGTGCCACTAGCACGCAAAAGGGTTACAGAGAGTAGAAGCAAGAGTAATAGGACGTGATTGAGGAAAAGATAGAGAAGGACGGGAAGTTAAATCGAGGCATCAGATGTCGACTGGCATTACATCTGAATATTTGAAGACTATAACTATCAGGGAAGCAAGTAAGAGGAAGGGAGTTCCACAGACCGGAAGTGCGAGGCATGAAGCTATTGGAGTAGAAGAGACGGCTACATTTAACCGTTTCGACAGTGAAAGGGTGAGACTGAGATGCCGACCTAGAAGAACGCTTAAATTCATGCAGTTTGGGAACTAGCGATAATAGCTCGTCAGAAGAGTTACCGTGAAAGTATTTGTAGAAAAGACAGAGGGAAGCGACGGCACGTCTGTGAGAAAGTGACTTTAGGCTAGATACCAGACCAGGACCAACACATTGCATATCAGTCTCTGGATTTTGTCGAGGACCTTGAGACGAACAACCGGGGCACCAGACCATATATGGCAGCAGTATTCCATGCAAGGGCGAATGGTTGATTTATAGATTTGAAGGATAGACTCGGACAAGAAAAACTTTCTGGCGCGACACAAAGAATCAAATTTCTTTGCGGTAGAGGAAATTATTGATTCAATGTATTGTTCCATCTTAGGTCAGCGAACAGCGTGAGACCAAGCAGGCACAGAGAGGCGCTCTCGTGGAGTTGAGCATGACATTGTAATGGAAACTAGGAAGGGTTCTCTATGCCGGATAAATGAGAGCAGTTTTGTTTTTGAAGCATTAAAGTTTACTAGCTATTTTCTGCCCCATTCATATACAGACTGGAGGGGCTTTTCGAGACCAACGGCCAGGTTAGTTTTGTCAGGGATTCCAGATTTGCTATTGAGGCGGGAGTAAATAGTAGTGTCGTCTGCGTAGATGCCTATTTGGGAACTGATGACATCAGGAAAATCGTTAATGTAGGACCCAGGATAGAGCCTTGGGGGACACCAGAGTTCGTGAGAAAGGAACTGGAGGAGAACCCGTTTAGGACGACCTTCATTTCACGGTTTGAAAGGAATCATTGTATTAAGTCAAATAATCGTCCTGAAATTCCGTATCCCTGAAGCTTACGAAGGAAGCCGGCATGCCAAACCCTATCAAACGCTTTAGAGATATCAAGAGCCACGGCTCAAGTTTCTCCGTTATTGTGATGTGCTAGGTAAACAAATTCAGTTATGGCCGTGAGCGCATCAGGTGTAGATCGAGCAAAGCAGAAACAATATTGCTTGTCAGAGAGTAGATCATGGGATGTAAGGTGCTTAATCACTTTAGTGTTGATTAAAGCCTCGAAAACTTTGCCGAAGAGTGGTAGGAGACTGATAGGATGTAGTTAGATGAATCAGAAGTCTCTCCAGAGTTCTTAAAGACAGGGACAACAGATGAGGATTTTCAACAGGCTGGAAAGGAAGAGTCGATGAAGCAGTAGTTATAGAGTTTGAAGAGAACAGGGGCCAGCTCAGAAGCACATTTCTTCAAAACAACGTCTGTTATCCCGTCCCCACCGTTAGCCTTATGGGAGTCTAATTTAGAGACGATGGTCAATACCATCAATGGGGTTATGTGCATCTTACTCAGTAAAGCCTCAGTTCTAGTGAGGAAATCAAGTGTGGGTAGACCGCATGAGTCGAGCGTTGAATTGGATGAGAATTTCCAAGCAAAGAATTCAACCTTATCAGCTGAGGAAGTCAGGACCTCAAATTGATTGAATAAAGGAGGTGTTGTGGATTTACTGTTGTTCAGTACGCCAATAATCTTTAGAACCGAACTTGCGAGATGCTATACGTTGTTTCATTTTTTTCAGCAAATATTGACTTTGTTTCATTGAGGACGCGCTTGTGCTTATTAGGGACAGAAACAAAGAGACGTCTTTTGCAATCAGACATGTCGCTACGGTACAGACGGAAGAAGTGATTCCTATGGGCAATAGCAGCTGAGCAAGCAGGTGTGAACCAAGGGGCTGAACGCGATTTAACTTTATATTTTCTTGCGGGGATAAAAACCTCGACTCCAGTTTTTACCCATGAGGAAACCTCGGAAGCCCATTTTTAAACGGGGAGATTAAAGACCACATCTCGAAGGAAATCACGTTGATAACAGAAAGATATTCTGTTGGTAGGAGGTTCTTTGCTGGTAGAGGAGTAGAATGAGATGTTAACAGACACTACGGTATGATCAGAGTTGCCAAGAGGACAAAGCTGAGTGGCACAATAAGACTCTGAGATGGAGGTAAAACAGAGATTGAGAAAAGAAGCCTTACAGTCCTGGTTATTGGGGAAACGTGTAGTAAAGTCAACCACTTGTGTGAGGGATTGAGTAATTGAAATGTTAAGGGTTTATATGCTAGCAATGTCAGTTATAGAGTTTTTTAATCATTTGGTATGGTGGACGTTAAAATCGCCAAACACGAAAATATGTGCAAATGGATAGCCTTGTCTATGTTACCGGAAATGCTATCGAGAACACCGCAGTCTTGGGAGGATGAAGGATGATAGAGGAAGAAGAGGTAACAGACAGCATTGAGGAGAGATAGACGGAGAATGGTCAGGAGATTCAAGAGCATCCTAGCCAGTGGGAGATGGTCCCTGAAGTAAACTCCCAGGCAATGCAAGTGGGTTTTAGAGTCTTTTCTAAAGAGAGGAGGGTAACCGGGGATCGTGAAGTCTAAGGTATAGATAGATGAGTTAAGGTTGGTCTCCCAGAGAGATAGTATATCAGGAGACTTCCCAACGCGGAACGATTCCACACTGCAGAAGTTGGTTCGAATGTCGCGGATGTTGGAAAAAAGAAATGTTAAAGGGTTTAGATCATTTTTTAGAGTTGGTTTAGGTTTACTTCTTTGATTTTTTGTTGTCATGTTGGGTAATGTTGGTAATGAAAATGAAAAGGCCTGAAGAAGTAGTAGCAGACGGTCATCAAATGTGACATGGGCAGAAAGGAGCTGGCGCAGCCTGCAACATAATGTGACCTTATGGTTGCCCACCGGATGTGCGTACAGAGACAACCTTCCATGCGCGACATGGCACTCCGATATTATGCAACTGTTGATCAGAGTAGCCGGACACGACTCTACGCAAGAGTTAGGGGTCCTAACTACCAGTGAACTGTCAACCCAGTGCCCTCAGAATGAAGAGGCGTTGACACAGACCGCATACATCATAAGAGAATCACGACAGTACTTCTACGGAGGCCAGAGAAAAGGAAAGGAAAAGTTCCGGGAACCGTTTTCTAAACAGGAACAAGGAATGGGCCTCTATACCTATTCAAGAGAAGAGGGAAGAGTATCGACCGGGCGATAGTTAAACCTATCTAACTCCTATTACAGACACACACACACACAAAGAAAAAACACGTAGCATACAAGAAGCTCATAAACAACAATTTAGTTTAAGTGCTTACATGAACTTTGTAAAGAAGCCAAGAATTACTCCACGACTGTGACCAAGCATTCACTTAGTGTCCAGGGCTAGTATGAATGTTCAAACAACTTCATATTCAAAAGTTCACAATAGAAAATAAAATAACAAGAGGGAGTGGATTAAATTCACTACCATTATAAAGAAAGAACAGTTATGAAAATTAAAGAATTAGTATCAGCGAACAAAACAAATTAATACTTACGTAAATACATAGAAATTTAGAAAAAAGAAGAAAATCGAAAAGGTGCATAAGAATGATTAGAATGAAATTTAAATACATACATGCTAGTGTGACAAGCGACAAAAATTGAAAGTAAGTAGTTCTTAAGTGATAGTGAGAAATGGTGTGATTTTTTTCCTATTCCGTTTCTTGGCCATGGACTAGTTCCCCAACTTTAAATCCCAAGATCGAAGGAGGGGTATTTCTCCTATTATATCGCAAGAACTAAAAATAGATTTACAGTTCTCATTATCCGGGTCGCAAAATCTGACTTTTCTTCCAGCTGACTCAGCTTTAATCGAATCAAGCTATAATTAATTTTATCACACAAACACATATATTTTCATATTTATCAACACCACTAAATTTTACATTCGTATAGACCAATATCGTATTTATATCCATTTAAAACATATATGTGCGTGTATCTATGTATGCATGTCTATGTAGATAGATAGATAGATAGATAGACTAAGCGTAACTTATTTTAGTAAGAGCCTAAAATGTGAAGATAATTCGTATTGTTTCGATTTCCCAAAAGGGAAAAGCTTAAATACCTTGAAAAATCAGTATTTAGAATTTCGACTGTTACTCGAGTTCGAACGCCGTACACCAGAGTAATTATTCTAATGAGACAAGCTTGCTAACCATTACGTCGACGTACCCACATATATAGAGTCACGATTGTTTATGTGCATATAAAATTATTTTTATATATAGGAATCATATAAAATTATACCAATATACACGTTTACATATGAACACAGGCACACGCGCCTACATGTGTGGTTGTGCGCGCGCACGCGCACGTGTGTGTGTATTGTTATAATATTAAAATCTTTTCATGCACTTAATATAAGTACTTGAATGTATATGTTAAGTGGCGTATTTGGTGACATATACATTTACACACTTAATATATACGGTAAGGTTAATTCTTTTTCCAAATATTTCTGTATGCAATAGCGTTGTTCCGATTCTCTTTCCGTGTCTACCTTTGTTAATACTGAAAAGAGACAATGAAACCCAGAAGATGCCTTACAAAAGCAGTAACATCATGTGCGAATACAGACAAATGCCAAGCGTTCTTTGACATCAAAGTAAACACATGTTCTAGTCTAACCATTCGGAAAGCTGTCGAATGCGATCAGATTATCGGAATGTCTCTCTATAGGAGAATTTAAGAGCTCGGAATTACACGGCATATCTTCCCCCCCTCTCCTCACCATTTATTCTTTCTTTTCTCCCTTCCCCTTTCCTTCCCCGACTTCTTTCCCTCTCGCTCCCCTACATCAAAGAAGCAATGTCTATTCAGTGTGTTACATTATAGAATAACAGTGAAACGATGCTGATGAAGTTGATGTCATCTTACGATTATTACTTAGTTTTTTAACAAATGAAAAATGCAATAGAAAATACGAAAAATAATATAAAAACAAGCCAATGACGTTTTAGAAAGTCGGTATTAGTTCGCGTGTTCACATGAACACACGAAAGGTTTCGTTAGAAACTTGCGGAAAAAATGTAAAATAGAAAATATTGCCGTCTTTCCTAAATGCGGCAATATCTGCTCGCTTCTAAGGAATTAAATAGCAAGTCCGTTTATCCTATTGCGCTATATTTGATCTCTCTCCTTCCATTCAAACCCTATCCGTCCATTTACTGCTTTCGTTAGCTCTGACTTTAATTACAATTACTAAGCCTGGCTTAATACAGCATAAAGACAAATAGGGATCGCTCTCTGAAGCGGGCATTCTCGCTTAGTTTGAAAAACCAGAAAGCGAGATCCCAACTTTTATGTAGGCTCAGACACCTAGAACTAACTCGGATTGTATATGCACAACTATTTAACTTACTAAGCTCACTATCAGTTAAGATAGTATTTTTAAAGAGACGGGCAAAACTTGCATTTCGTTTTGTTTTTTGTTTGTTTTTTTTAACAGAATTTTTTATATAGAATTATACATAACTGAATTATACATAACAGAATTTAAATATAGAATTATACAAAGAGAATTATGTATCTCACATCTGCCGTTGGGACTTTTCGAAGCCCATATCTTCTAAGACATTCTTACTGTAATGATTTCTCACAACTGAACAATCAAAAGCACACTTAGTTTAAAAGAGATTTACCCAATATAAGGTGGAAGCGGGCCCTAACCCTGCCGAAAGAAAACGTTTTTAAGACCCTCAAATGCCTAGTAAGTAGACGTCAATTACACTGTTTAAAAAACAGAGATGTCTACTCAAACACCTGTATTAAGTAATATATAACGTTTATAGTAATAAAAAGTAATGTTGGATTATAAATAAAATTAATTAATTTCGCAGTAATTATACAAACTCTAACGATATTCTTTCAGTTTTATCAATCCCTGTCATTTGATAATACACTTTTTTCTTGTTTTCAATGCGCAATATCCGAACGGACTGCCGAAAAAAAATTATGATAAAAAATTACTAAATTTTCTATTTAATCATATTCGTCTATATCGCTAAGATTATCATTATTTACATCATTTACATAATTCGGACTGTTATCCTCATTTTCATTGCCATATTCACAAAATTTCAGCCTTCTTCAGTTGATTAGAATTTCGTCCACCGGGGCTGATTGTTCTAGTTCCGCGTGCCATGCCTCTTCCCGATATCTTAGTTATTTCCCTTTAACTCAATTCTCTAAGTTTTTTGGTTCACCACTGCTGTAGCCTGGTATTGAACTCACAACTCTTTGGGTCTAGTCACTGGATCTAACCAAGGTCTTTATCCACATGATCCTCTAAGTTTAGTCAAACTGAATATTTCGTCCGGGAGATGACGATGATTGCCACGTTACAACAGACTTTGAAGCTTATAGATAAAGTGACTGATAATTTATAGCTCATTTTTTAATGCAATTTTCCAAAAAAGATATTAGTTTCTATGATCGATTAGTTCTATACAACTTTTCTATTCTTAAATATTCTGTGAATTTGCGCACTTGTAAAATGTTTCATGCTTAGAAGATATTGCTTTATCTATCCTAGTCCCTCCGTAATAATCCTCGTCTGCCTCTGCTATTGATCTCTGCTTATCTTGTAATCGATCTGCTAATTACATTTATATATGATTTTGATGTGCTTGTGTGTGTTTGTCTTTCTGTCTTAGCCCGTATGTTAATATCTATCTCAGTATGTACATATCTCTGTTTCAGAGTGTTCATATCTATCTACATGTCTCTGGTTTTATTTGTCTATCTGTCGGTCTGTATGCTCATAGCTATCAGTTTCAGTCTGCTCATGTATCATGTATCATTCTGTACGTATCTCTCTCTCTCTCTCTCTATATATATATATATATATATATATATATATATCAACGTGTTTATATCAACCTATCTGAACCTATTCATATCTAAGTCTGTTCATACCTATACCTATTTATCTATCTATCTATCTCAACTTTTTCCTTAATCTCTTTATATCTGCCTATCAATCTATCTTAGGACTGCTCATATCTATCCCAATCTGTTCATATCTATCTATCTATTCTATTCTATTCTATTCCATCCTTTCCTTTCCATGTTCTTTGTACGTTTGATCTTTCTACTCTATTGTTTATCTCCTCTTCTCCGTTTCCTTTACTTTGAATGGTTTCTATGTTTTTCTCATTTCTTTTGTTCATCACTTAACTCTTAAATCTTAACTTTAAATAGTTTATATTCAACCCTTAATGTTGCTCGCTGAGCTTTGATCTTTTCTGATAACTCCTTTTTTCCCTTTGCATCTTTTGTCTTCGTTTCTGATATCTTCAAATCTTGCAAATTGAATACACTGTTTGACACCAGTTCTGTTGCTTTTCCAGGTAAAAATAGAATATTAGACGAAGTGATTTTTTAAAGAAACAAAAATGTATTCATACATTTTCCTTTCATTTTTCTCCCTTTTATTCCCTTCCTTTTAATCTTTATATATTTACTTATTTTAATGTTATCTGCGTTTCCAGGGTTAGAATAGCCATCTTGATCATCATTAACCTTTATTGACTATTATTTCTTCATTCACTTATCGTCAGCATCTTTTTCAATAAAGCAGTTAAAAAGAAGGAAAAAGATACAAATTTATGCGCAGTTAGTTTCTGCTTCAAATCCTCAGTTTTCTAATCATACCTGCTAATTTAACCTAACATACCGGTACTTTAGGCTAAAAAAGAATATTGAGTGCGATGGGTAAATTGTCGTCATTTTATATTTTTCTAAAATTTCGCACATTCTCTTTGTTTGTTTCTGATTTCGTCGACTGCACAGTATAGTAGAGTCAGTTGGGCACCGTCTCTGAGAAAAAGAGCACCATGACGCAATTTACTCCGCCAGAAGTTTGAAAACGGCATACTGTACTGCTTGGAATTCACGCCGGAAGCTCCAATACGAACATTTCAGGGTGTTTTGGTGTCAGTCTAAGGACAGTGCATAGGATTCGGAAAGAGTTGGATGAGTCTAATAGTGATTACGAAGGTGTTTCGATCACTAGTGATGGCGACGTAATGTCTCCTTTCTTCTTCCCATATGGCCTCAAACTCAACACGGAAGCCTACATCAAGTGCCTTGTGTAGGTAGTGCTGCCCTGGGTCAAGACGGCGGCTACTAGATGACTCTGCGTCTGGCAACAGGACTCTGTGTCATGCCACACAAGCAGAACAACCACATTTCTGCGGCCACATATCTCCTTACATCTGGCCACCTAACTCCTCAGACTGCAATCTTCTTGAGTATTATGTGTGGAGCGCAGTTCAGCGAAAAACCAACAAAACTCTTCGTAACACCAAAGATGAACTGAAGGCAAGGAGTTTGGAAGCATTCACCAACTTAAACAAGGGGGCCGTCCAGAAGATATGCAAGAGATTCCGAAGTCGTCTGGAGGCCGTGGTTGAAACCAATAGCGATTTTATTGAACAAATTTACTCTTTAGTATTTCAAGATATTTTAATGCAATTTTGGTAAATATATCTGTTAAAATGAGATGTCAATGTTATTTTCATTTTTGCGTAAATTTGTCCATCACACCCTTTATGTCTTACCTGTGCGCAGTCTTATAACCAGTCCTCTTTACTTGGGTTGTGTCAGCATGTTAGCTTGGAGATAAAGAAAAAGATGAAATGCTTGGCGGTGCTTTACAAATGTTCCTTCGCTTGTATGCACAAGGGTTAGTCAAAAAGTTATGCCTATTCTTCAATTACAACAGATTTAATAACAGAATAACACAAAGCACATCAAAATGAACACAAAAGTCTCGGAATTCCAAATCTAGTCATTAACATTTTTCAAACGTGGTATTCCACCTTTTAATGGTGGTGTTGGGTATACCAAATATATGTGGATGACCTCGGTAGTACTTGCCACAGATAAGGATATTTACCCAAATATTTATAATAAAATAAAGAAGGCTAGAGATATTTTAAATGATGATGTTATTTTGGCCCAAGTGTATTTACGCGTAAATAAATATAACGAACCCTACTGGAATTGGAAATTGGCTATTCGATTAAGAATTTCGATCCGTTATCCATTACACCACCCGTACCTCGGTGTTTGAATGTAATGTGGCCGTAAGCTTGAAGAAAAAGACGAAATTTATAATGTTCATGAAATGGGAAAACAAACATCTGAGAAAATCTGGAAAGCTTGTCACTTCAGACATAAAGTACCCCATCTTTCTGATCCCTACTATCATTCCGCGTTCATAACCTTTACATAACTACAATGGCTATAATGCTTCTTTAACTATTACGCTACACATACTTTATTCAGATATGTGCATTTCTACGAATAAAAACCATCTATATTATTTCTATTATGCCCTTTAAGAGATTGCATCTCAAACACTAATAAATGATAATACTCATTAAATACCTATATTAGCCCCCCAAAAAATACCACGCTCTGTCATTAGTCATAGATGATTTTAGTAGAAACAAGAGATCAGTTTATCGGTTGTTTAGGGTGAATACGAGAATAATTTTCATTTTAATATAATATGCATTAACATTGCGGGAACACCTTTTTAAGAATTCATGTGTTACAATAGACTTTTTACGCGGACCTTTACACGCAGATATTTCATTCTTCTCTTTTTCTTACCTTTTTATTCCATTTTATGAAGCTAGCGTCTCAAAGTCAGGCTATATGCGGTGCTTTGTTAATAGCGGTTACTCAGGTGACAGTTGTTTCTAAATGTCAGGGTCAGTCTTATACTTGAACTCACTCTGTTGGAGCGCGTCCTTAAAAGACGACTTATTTGAATTTAAAAGCAGCGCCATTTTCTAGAAAGGGGGATTCTCGAAGAAAGAGTGAATATCTACCATTTTCACGCGATGGCCAGTTCGCTTGAAGCATTGACAGAGCAATCAATGCTTCTTATTTCTGCTTATTCAAGGACTCTTATATCGATCCATCTTTCCGATGACGCCGGGGATTCCGAGAAAAAAACATTGCCGGAGCTTCATTTTACTGTTTCTCGTTTTCTTTTACTCTTGACAGGTGGAGACATTCAAATCTTTTCTTTTCTGTCGCTCCATCTCTGTTTTCGTTTCTCTCTTTTCATCTATCTTTATACACACTCTCATAAATATTCTATAACTATTTTCTATCTTTCTCTTTCGCTCTATCCCCCACCCCTTTCTCTCATCTGCTACTTTTCTCTCAATATCATTTCAGATTTCTATATTTCTCTCTCTCTCTCTCTGTCTCTCTCTCTCTCTCTTTTTCTCGTTGCCTTTGTCTGGTAACTGAGATATGGTTCAACAGAAGAATACTGAGAATTACATGGGCAGAATATGTGAGCAACAGGGAAGTTTTAAAGAAAATGGGAACGAAAAGTAAATTTCTGAGACATCTAATGAGAAAAGAGGACGGGGCGAATTTGACACTCACATGATATACTGTAGTGAACAGGGAAACATCGAGTAACCTAGCTAGCGGTCTTGTGTACAGGAATAGCAGAACATTGACGGTGAAGAATGGTAAGAAAATAAATATTGTTTAGATCTATAGAGGATGGGAAGCTGTGAGGAGTAATGATTGCCTTCGTCCTGAAGTGACACGGCGCATAAAAGAATATTCTTAAATATGCATTTGTATCGTCTCCAAAATAAGCATGCGCACCTATATAGTAACAATGAAGGATTAAATGAAAAAGCTCTCCTTTAAACGAAAATTTCTGACCACCTCTTTCCAACCATTACTATCATACAGAAATTTTCCTAGGTCTTCCTTCTTTATTTAAATGTCATCAATCAACAGTCAAGTTATTATGAGAAAAGAGCAAGAGCATTCAAAAATCATTATGAGAAAAGAGCAAGAGCCTTCAATAATGACGTCATGAGAAAAGAGCAAGGCTCTTGATCTTTTCTCATAATGAGGTGATTGTTGAAGGCTCTTGCTCTTTTCTCATCATGATTGTTGAAGGATCTTGCTCTTTTCTCATAATGACTTGATTTTTTAAACTTATTGCTCTTTTCTCATAATGATTGTTAAAATCTCTTGCTCTTTTCTCATAATGACTTGATTGTTGAAGCCTCTTACTCTTTTCTCCTAATTACTTGATTTTTGAAGGCTCTTGATCTTTTTTCATAATTTACACCCTACAAAATAAGCTGATCCAAAACTTCTTGTGTTTTTATCCAGTAATATCCACTAAACCACACTCGTCTTTTTCAAATGTGTCGGTAATCTTTGCAACGTTCCTCTATAATTCTTCACTGGGTTTATGTCGCTTCCGACTGATATATAGTGCTGCTCCCAATAGTGGAATATACGTCGCATCTAGTTTATTTTACTCTGTGTGTGGGGGGGGGGCGAGGCAGGTGAAGTGATTTCGTTAAACTCTTCTTCTATATGTCAAGTCCCTTCAGGCCATTGCTGATTATGGCTGTACACAATTCGCTTTCCTTTGTAGCGCTCAGTAAATTTTGTTAAACTAACCGATACATAATTTTAAATAATTCCACTTACGATTATTTTTTAATGAACTCTGAATGTTTATCGATTATTGTAGTCTCCTTTGTAATTTATATATTATTTTCACAAACGTGTTTTAAGTTTGTTTTTATGTGCATTTTTATAATATTGACCTTTGCCCTCTCAGATATTTTCTACTCACCAAACCCGGTCATTTTTTAATATCGAAATATAGAGCAAAAGTAATTATCTTTAAATCGTTTGTTCATAGATAAGCCATAGATTGCCAAATTGCATTTATATAATACGCCTTAAATGCAGAAAATTTTGCAGAGAAAAAACAGAAAATTAATCCGATAAAAATATCAATTATTTGATATTATTTACGAGTAAGATTTTTGTTATAGTTTTTTTTTTTTTTTTTTTTTTTTACATTTTTCTTCTCTTTTTTTTCTTTTCTTTTAATTCTGTGAGGGGACCTAGTCAGCCATAAATAGTTGCCCCGATGTGGATGGAACTCTAACTGTCTGTTTACATTTATTATCCAGTGTTAACGGTTTGGAATGGAAAGGAAAATTTTCAAATCAATTTGTCGTTTACTAAGAGCTGAATGTAGAGCTATAGGCAAGAAGCCACACAATTGTCTTCTTATTTACTTTATTACACCGGCCCTTGTAATTTCCTTAATAGATGCGAAAATTGCCTTTTAAATGGTTCATTCGTTTTATTTAAAACTCGACTGCACACAAGTTACTTTTTTTTTCATTGACATTTCACTTTTTGTGTATAAACCGCCGTTTGTATAAGAATAAATATATATATATATATATATATATATATATATATATATATATATATATATATATATATATATATATATATATATACTGTAATGGCTAAACACATAACCTCTCCCTCTCTCTCTCTCTCTCTCTATATATATATATATATACATATGAATATATGTGTGCGCGTGTCTGAATGTGGATCTGTCACGACATCTCGCTTCTCCTTATTTCCGTCATTCTGCTATCTGTCAGTTTCTCACTCGGCCTTACTCACTTCTTTCTCTCTCTCTCTCTCTCTCACTCTCTCTCTCACTCTCTCTCTCTCATTCTCTCTCGTGTCACATTTCTATTTTCTCGTCCTTTTCACCATATTCTCTTTATCGCATTTTCTCTTTTCTCTCTTTCTTTCCCTTTCCTCTCTCACTCCGTTTGTCCCTTTTCCTCTATTGTTCTCTATTGCTTCCTCTGTTTTTTTCTCGCTATCTTTTTTTTTCCTGTGCACGTAAGCCACACACACAGGAACATGCACACACATACGAACGCACAAAATTACGCACAAATACACACAATAATTCTACTCTGTATATGTTTAGTCTGTCTATACATATATACGTATTTTTTATGCCTCCAATGATCTGTTCGTCTCTTAATTTTTATATGACTTTATATACATACATAATGTCTAACTAGGAATTGATTGTTTTTTAATCAATCAACCTCTGATTTTTTTTTTTATTTTGATTCATTTCTGTGTATTTACATACATAACGTGACCCACTTATACAAGCAGGCTTAATCACACCCATGCCGGGTTGTTAAGGGGAGTCCAACAAGCACTTTGCGAAAAACTAAAAACTCTCCTGGCGTTAATGAAATTGACATAAGACAAAACATTTGTTAAGGAAAACACACATTACGGGAAGGAAAATGAAGAATCACAAATGAAAGCAAAAAGGATAGATAGATAGATAGATAGATAGATAGATAGATAGATAGATAGATAGATAGATAGATATCAGCAGACTGATATAATTAGATATCAGTAGACTGATATATTTCGATAGATAGATAGATAGATAGATAGATAGATAGATAGATAGATAGATAGATAGATGGCTTTTAATCATTTCACGCCAAGCAAGGCTTTAAAGTCACTAAGACGCAAGGAGTTACTGATTGAAAGAATCTGAGAAAAACATTATTGACAATTGAGAACAATAAAAGAACAGGTTTCAAGAAGTTTGAGAGAAGAAAATGTTAGCATAGAACTTATGGCTACACTTAGTAAATACAACAGTAAAATGATGTGACCTAACTGCCAATAGTGTATTGCGTTTAATGTTTTTAGAAAATGCATAGGGAAGCTATGTTACGCCGGTGGGAAAGTGACTGAAGTTATATTCGGAAATTGTATCGAACGAATTATTTTAGGGGTAAATTTAATTTTCTTTTGCGTATTTTTCTTCGTATTTTTCAATTGTTCATGTAATATTGTTCAATTTGTTTATTACTGATTAATTTTCTTTGTGGCATTTTAAATTGCCTCTTTTCTTACTTCTCTGGTTAAATATATCAAAGAGATTATTTTAACTAATTGACAGCAGTGGTTAAGACAAGTTGTATCTGATTATTTTCAAATGAGGACTTAGAAAATTTTTAGAGTGAAACAATGCAGATATATATTTCAATTTTTACATTCGATATTTCTTTCATTAGTCGTATAAAAGTCATGTGTAATCTTATGGGGGTTAGTGCTTATGCATGTATCAATTTTTAAATACTATTTTGTCTAGTTTTCATTGGTTCTGTGTGTATTTAATTCTTGAAATATTAACATAATTTATGCATTAATTTGGTTTATTAGTTTATTTTAATTATATAATTGATATGACGGATTTTGGAAGTGAATGTGTAATACGAGGTTAGATCATCTGCAAATGTTTGGATCTTACATTCTTTAAGTATAAGTTTTACGAATATTGATGATATGAAGAAGTGTGTTTAGTGGTTATTTATTGCATGTTGATTTTTTTTCATCATCCTCCTTCACCCTCCCTATGGATGGTCGGAACTCCATTGAAAATCCTTTTCCACACTATTAGGTTTTGTATTGCTATCACCAGATCCCCAATGTCCAATAGTGAATCCCGAGCTATGATGTCTGGGAAAGTCAATTTTCATGAGAAGACATTTTCAGAAGCATGCAATAGGAGTAAGGATAAGATAATTTCCCTGTCCTCTCTGTGGCAGTAACTGGCAAATTTTAATCGTTTTTGTTTGAGCCTAAGAGAGATTGGCCTTAGTTCTCAGTAAATTGTGTTAAGCGTTGCATGAGATCTCCAATTGATGTTGTGGAATTTTCTTAGTAGATTTACATATGTTCCATCAAGTCGACTTTTAAGACGAACAGATAATTTGAGCCACTCGAGGTAGAGGGTTACATGCACAGTTTATGCGGATATGTGAGGAAGATAACGGTTAATCAAGGTTGTAGGAATTGGGAAAACACCCGATTGGGAGTAGGTTCTACAGAGCAGCGGTTCGTGGGAAGAAGCTGCTCGAGTAGAACTTATATCTCACAAATGACATACGATATATGGCATATATATAGGGTGTATCAAAAATACTTTTACAAAATATGGGGGCGGGTTCCTGACACCAAAACAAGGTAAAAAGTCCATATAAACATATGTCTAAAATGGCCTTTGCTGCATCACGGACAATATGACTCAAATGTGCTGGAGCCCAATCATGCATGAAGTACATGCATCTTCGTATTAGCATGGGTACATCCTCTAGCAGGTCTGGAAGTGTGTTCGAAATAAATTCCCTATAGACAGCTCCTGTAAGACATCCTGGGAGAACATGTGTACCTACCAGACAGTCACCTACAATTCCAGCCTGTACATTAATTGTAAACTGATGCTGGTGTCTAGCCTCTATTGTAACATGGGGATTCCGATCCACCCACAAATGCTGGGTGTGTAACTTTGTTATTCCATCTCTCCCAAATGTTGTCTCATCCGTAAATAAGACTGAAG